GAGTTATAATTAGACCATTAATCTAATTCTAATATTAAAGTCTTAATAGAACTTAACCACAAATCCTAATGTCGAAATCTCCTCAAACAATATTAGTATATATTTAATATTTTATGCCCTAATTTTTATTTGTTCTCCCTTATGTCCCGTATTTGGTTTCAACCATACCTATACAATTATTTTATTGACAATTATAATCAATCTTGACTATATTATCTTGCATTTGTAAACTTAGAATTACCTATTTAACCCGCACGGGCTTAGCTCAATGGTTTAGTGGACAATATTTGGGAGAAGAGACCAAGGTTTGAATCTCGGCGGCGGCAGTGCGGAATTATGTCCAAAGTGGGTAGATTCCTTGTTCGCACCGGCATTTGGTCATATCTGCTGAACCATTGAGTCACCGTGATTTACAACTTCCCACAATGCTCTGTCGGGTCGGAGTGTGGGGGGCCCTTGGGGTTGGGGACTCAACCTTTGCGAGAAGAATTACCTATTCAAATACGCAAATTCAACCTTCAATTATCTATGCATGAACAATTTCAATATAATCTTACCTTAATATACTTTAAAGTACTTATTTTTTAAAAAAAACATTGGGCATTATCCCAATCGCGCAATGCGCGTAAAAAACTAGTGGTACTAATAAAATACTTGGTAAATAAATATATAGCATTATTTTGTATTATAACTTTGATATTTAATTAAAAAATAGTGCACAAAAAAGATAATAGACAATGTAGTGAATATAATCTTTTGATGAATTTGAATGTAAAGAATTTTTACATTGTAGAAAAATAAAGACAATATAACTAATGAAATTTTTTCTCTTAATTAATTTATTGATAATGAATAATTTTTTTTAATAAAGACATTGTAGGGACAATGTAGCGGATATAATCAATTGATGAATTTGAATTTTGAATGTAAAGAATTTTTATATTGGAGAAAAATAAAGACAATATAACTAATGAAATTATTTCTCTTATTTAATTTATTGATAATGAATAATTTTTTTTTAATAAAGGCATTGTAGACACATAATTCTAAATTAAAGAAATGCATATGTATTATTTTTTGTTGTAGCTACTAAATTATTATTTAATTTAATAAGAGTAAAATAGAGTACTAATTATGTCAACTTTGATTGGGATGTGGTTCGAACCTAAGATCTTTCTTATTGAAATCAATGAGTAAGTTAACGGTGAACTAACCGAAATTAACGGAAAAGATAATATTTAACGGAAAAGTTAACGGATAATCATGTTCATTAAGGATAAATTAGGAAATCTCAAGAAAAAATTAAAATCTGATCAATCTAGCCATTCATATGATTAAAAAATTTGACCGCCATTTTTTCTACCCATTATAGGCCTAACTCTCTTGGGCTCTTATTAGTATAGTAGATAGTAGGTAGTAGATATATATATATATATATATATATATATATATATATATATATATATATATATATATATATATATATATATATATATATATATATATATATTAGGCAGTCTAGTCTTTTGGGAATTTGTTTCCTTGTTTGGTGTCTTCTAGCTTGTATATATATGGTTGTGTTGTGTATTCTCTTCTGAGGATGTACAGGAAATAATACATTCTTCTATTTCATAACATAACCAAACACAGGCTCATGTTCATGATTACAATTCATTCGTGAATAATAAATAATCTATGTTCACAAACAATAATATATGTTTAATTGCTTGTTCATGAATATGTTCGTAAACCTTATTTAAATGAATAAACGAGCTTGTTCACGAGCTCTTAGCAAACGAGCCTACAACCAGGGACGGAGGGAGAGGGGGGGCAGGGGGGCGGTTGCCCCCCCTCACCCCACCCCCACCCCCACCCCATATATAGTATTTGTATATATAGTACATCTTTTAGTATTAGTATAAAAAATCTATAAAATATTAATAAGAAGTGAGTTAGAGTAGGTGGTAGAGCACAGCTTTGGTAGTAATGAGGTTAAGGGTTCCATTTTTAGCATCAACATAGTTTTACAATTTTTTTTAAATATTACACACACTCTATAATAAGATTAAATTATTTTATTAATTATGAGTTTCGATGTGTTTTATTTTTCGTTCATATCCAACAATATTTTCAATTATATTTCTTAGGTAGTTTATTTATTTATTTTTAAATTATCTCTTTTGTTTTAATGTTTCGCCTTTTCTAAAAAAAAAAAAAACTAGTTTTTTACGCGCATTGCGCGATTGGGATAATGCCCAATGTTTTTTTTTTTTTAAATAAGTACTTTAAAGTATATTAAGGCAAGATTATATTGAAATTGTTCATGCATAGATAATTGAAGGTTGAATTTGCGTATTTAAATAGGTAATTCTTCTCCCAAAGGTTGAGTCCCCAACCCCAAGGGCCCCCCACACTCCGACCCGACAGAGCATTGTGGGAAGTTGTAAATCACGGTGACTCAATGGTTCAGCAGACAGGACCAAATGCCGGTGCGAACAAGGAATCTGCCCACTTTGGACATAATTCCCGCACTGCCGCCGCCGAGGTTCAAACATTGGCCTTTTCTCCCAAATACTGCCCACTAAACCATTGAGCTAAGCCCGTGCGGGTTAAATAGGTAATTCTAAGTTTACAAACGCAAGATAATATAGTCAAGATTGATTATAATTGTCAATAAAATAACTGTATAGGTATGGTTGAAACCAAATACGGGACATAAGGGAGAACAAATAAAAATTAGGGCATAAAATATTAAATATATACGGAATAAGGTTCAAATTGGCCACTGAACGTAACCTGAAAATGCAATTAGGCCACTGAACAAAAAAAAAAGTGCAATTAAGTCACTGAACACTCCAAAAATGTGCAATTTCACCTGATAGCAGGTTACCCTCAATTTTAGCAGGTTATCTGCTTACGTGGCAGCTGAGTTGGCATTTTTAATAAATTTTAAATCTTTTTTAATAAATTTTAATAATAAATTTTTATTTAAAAAAAAAAATTAAAAAATAAAAATGACTTTATTTTATTTTTTATTTATTTTTTTTTCAATTTTTTATAAATTTTATTATTAAAATTAATTATTAAAAATTATTAAAAATGCCAACTCAGCTGCCACGTAAGCTGATAACCTGCTAAAATTGATGGTAACCTGCTATCTGGTGAAATTGCATACGTTTGGAGAGTTCAGTGACCTAATTGTCCATTTTTGGAGTGTTCAGTGGCCTAATTGCACTTTTTATTCGTTCAGTGGCCTAATTGCATTTTCAGGTTACATTCAGTGGCCAATTTGAACCTTATTCCAATATATACTAATATTGTTTGAGGAGATTTCGACATTAGGATTTGTGGTTAAGTTCTATTAAGACTTTAATATTAGAATTAAATTAATGGTGTAATTATAATTCTATATTAGACGTTAATATTAGAATTAGACTAACGGTGAATTAACGGTATTTAACGGAAAAGTTAAATGGATAATCATATAATTAAGGATAAATTAGAAAAACTTTAAAAAAAATTAAAACCTGAACAATTTGAATCATTCATTTGATTTAATAATTTGGCGGTCATTTTTTCTACCCAATGTTAATAATTAAATAAATTCGTTGGTCAAATCCGCTAATATAATCCGCTAACTGTTGATTGTCAAACAAGGACATTACAAGGTAGTTCTCACTTCAATTTGTTGTGTGATTTGAATACTCTCTTTGTCACAAAATCTCTCAAGTAGTTAATATGATTGGCTTTATTAATTATATATTTTTTTAATTTTTTCATGGTATTAATAAAATACTTGGTAAATAAATATATAGCATTATTTTGTATTATAACTTTGATATTTAATTAGAAAAATAATGCCCAAAAAAGATAAGAGACAATGTAGTGAACATAATCAATTGATGAATTTGAATGTAAAAATTTTTAACGGAAAAGTTAAATGGATAATCATATAATTAAGAGTTAATAACCAAAATGGTCCCTCGACTATGTCATAATTACCAATTTAGTCCTCGACTACCATTTTTATCCAATTAAGTCCTCAACTATGTAATCTTTACCCAATTTAGTCCTCCTTTAACTTGGCTGTTAGTTGATGGTTAAAATTAGGGGCAAAAGTGTAATTTAATAAGCTTCCTTCATTTGATCTCCCGTTCAACACCGACTTGTCGCCCAGGGATTGCTCCTGTGACACAGAACAATTCTGAATTGCTCCTGTGCCTAATGGATATGTTCTTCAAAGACTATTTCCTTTTAACATGTATAAATGCATTTGATAGAGGTTGCTTACTGACTGAACACATGGAGGGTGAATTGGGTGTTAAAGTCCTAGAAATGAGGTTGAAACTGAAGAACTGAAAGTTCAGGGTAGGAACAAATTCAGAATTCCTAAAGAGGGAGAATAAGATTTCCCGATCCTGGAATGAACATTTGGCTGTGCTTTTTTGTTTATGAAAGGTGAAAATATTTAACATCCTGTTTTCAACAGAATGAAAACAAAGGGAATATGAATAGAATTTCAAAGTCAATAGAGTAGAGAAGGAAGGCTATTTCATTGTTGGACTCATAAAAAATAGCACTGAGTATACAAGGAATAACATTCTAGAGTTTGGTTGGCTTAAGGAATGGAAAAGGACTATACCATCAAATAGCCTAAATACCCATATTCACGACTGAATCTGATGACCTCAATATATTTTAAAGAACATAGTTTAAATTGAAGAAATTAAATCCTATTTATTTAATATAGATAACCAAGAAAAATATATATTATAGATGCATATGTATTCACTATTAACAAAACTAGCAAGATTTTCGACTTCTAGCCATCATGAGCTGCATGGAGGGTAGAAAGGAAAGGTTTACAAGGGTGTTTTTGCCTTCTAAAATAGCAAATCTGAGTCAGGGGTTTGGACTGCATTCCCTGGAATAGAAAACAAAAGGTGTTGGCAATTCCATGGGATTCCCATCCCATTCATGGTAAATTCTGTGAATAAAAGATGCCAGTAAGGATTGGGTTGGAATTGAAGGAGACAACGCCTCCTCGACGACCGTCGTCTTCGTCTTCTACAACGTTCCCTTGCCTCTACTGCTCCCGCAAGTTCTACACTTCCCAAGCTCTCGGCGGCCACCAGAACGCCCACAAGCGGGAAAGAGCCGCCACCGGTCGTAGCTTGTACCCGGCCGCCGCCTCCTCCACTGCGCTGTCATCCGTTCCTAGTTATTCCAACCCGCCGGCCAGCAGCTATTACGGGCTCCAAACACCGCTTCTCCTCCACTCCACCGCCACCACCACCACCTTCAACTCCCTAGGCGACCACTATTTCGCCACCGTCGTTCCTCCTCCTCCACCTTGCGATCTCGAAGGCCTTGTTCTGGGTCCAGCACAAGCCGGTGGTGAAGGAGAGATCAGATGAAGGAAGTTTATAAAATTACAATTTTGCCCCTAACTTTAACCATCAACTAACAGACAAGTTAACGGAGGATTAAATTGGGCAAAAATTACATAGTTGATGACTTAATTGGGTAAGAATGATAATCGAGGACTGAATTGGTAATTATGACATAGTCGAGGGACCATTTTGGTTATTAACTCTATAATTAAGGATAAATTAGAAAAACTTAAAAAAAAAAAAATTAAAACCTGAACAATTTGAATCATTCATTTGATTTAATAATTTGGCGGTCATTTTTTCTACCCAATGTTAATAATTAAATAAATTCGTTGGTCAAATCCGCTAATATAATCTGCTAACTGTTGATTGTCAAACAAGGACATTGCAAGGTAGTTCTCACTTCAATTTGTTGTGTGATTTGAATACTCTTTTTGTCACAAAATCTCTCAAGTAGTTAATATGGTTGGCTTTATTAATTATATATTTTTTTTTTAATTTTTTCATGGTATTAATAAAATACTTGGTAAATAAATATATAGCATTATTTTGTATTATAACTTTGATATTTAATTAGAAAAATAATGGGCACAAAAAAAGATAATAGACAATGTAGTGAATATAATCAATTGATGAATTTGAATGTATTACATTTGAGAAAAATAAAGACAATATAACTAATGAAAATATTTCTCTTAATTAATTTATTGATAATGAATAATTTTTTTTCACTGAATTAAGATATTGTAAGGACAATGTAGCGAATATAATCAATTAATAAATTTGAATATAAAGAATTTTTATACTGTAGAAAAATAAAGACAATATAACTAATACAATTGTTTCTCTTATTTAATTTATTGATTATTGATAATGAATAATTTTTTTTTGAATAAAGGCATTGTGGACACATAATTCTAAATTAAAGAAATGCATATCTATAATTTTTTGTTGTAGCTACTAAATTATTATTTATATAATTTAATAAGAGTAAAATAGAGTACTAATTATGCCAACTTTGATTGGGATGAGGTTCGAACCTAAGACTTTTTTTTTTATTGAAATCAATGAGTAAGTTAATGGTGAACTAACGACAATTCTTAAAATTTTAACGAAATTAGTAACGGTGTGTGGGTATTTTAGGAAATTTTAGTGTAAAATTTAAATCTTATCAATCTTTTAATCAATCTGAGCCATTCATTTGATTAAAATCTGTGACCGTCATTTTTTTTACCCATTATAGGCCTAACTCTCCTGGACTCTTATTAGTATAGTATATAGTAGATAGATAGTAGATAGTAGATAGATAGTAGATAGTAGATAGTAGATTTCTAAATCCGTCTGTACTGTTTCGCCCCCCCCCCCCTCCTCAACCGAATTTCTGACTCCGTCCCTGCTTACAACTATTCAGACTGTTCGTTTATAAATCGAGCTCTAAAATTTGTTCATTTATATTCGTTCACCTTAATAAACAAACATAAACAAAGATTTAACGAACAAGACTTAACGAACACAAATACAAAAATTAGTAATTTACCAAAAGCTCTATTCCTTAACAACCCTACTAAAAGGGTAAATTGTCTGCGACTCTGCGTCCGAAGAAGAGTTGGCCGTTGCTGTGCTTTATGGGGTGTTTGGTTGGCATGAATTGCATTGTAATTGAATTGTAACTCTCCGAAACTACCAGTCCATAGTCCATCCGCAGAAACCATTGCCCTATCTTCTCCGCGGCTCTGATTTTCCGGCGATTCTCAGGTGACACTTATGGCCGAGTTAACCCTACTTCATGTATTTATACACGGAGTACACAAATTGCGAATAATTTTTTTTTTTTTTTTTTAAGTTAAAATGCATATTTACGCATGCATTTGTTTTCCTGTGTTTAACATTTACACTTGTTTTTCTTTCACCCTCCAATTCTTACCTTGGTCTTCGGGAAGCCGAGAATTTTATTTATTTATATATTTTTTGGTTGCAGTTTGCGGTGATTATTTTTCTATACTGGTTTTGGGAATGGTAAGTGCATGTGAGAAAATAAATTGATTGTAGGAAACAAAAGGGGAAAAAGATAATAATAATGGCGAAGCGGGGGAAGAAGAGGAAGAAGAGGTATGGCATGTCTGGTGCAGGACATAGGAATGTGAAGTGTGATACCAAAGATTCCAAGTTTGAGAAAATCTCAACACAGGTGGATGGTGATTATATGCTGTATTTAGAAACCCTAGACAGTAGCCAAGAAAGTTGCTTTGAATGGGAAGATAGTCTGGATCATAATGATAATGATAATGATATCGACCCTCAGTATAGAATCTTTTTGGATAATACTGTACAAAAAGGGACAGCGTATGTGACTACACTCGAGGAGAATGGATTGCCCTTATATCTGCACTATGAAAAAGAAGAGGTCATATCTAGTGATGAGCGGAATGATGTTCATAGGAGAAAAGTGAAGAAGACTAGGAAAGGAGGTGATGGGAAATATTTGGAGGATCTTAAGGTAAAGGGCAATGTGGAAAGACCAAGAATTTTAAGGAGTGATGTGAGGAATTGTGAAAAATCAGTGCTTGGACCATTGAATCCTGTTTCTATTGGGAGAAGGCAGCCTTTGTCCGGGAAACAACACGAGTATAATATGAAGAATAAGTCAGATAAAGAGCAGAGAACTTCGAGTACAGGTGCCGAGGAGAAATATCTAGACAAAGATTATGCTCTTTTCCTGCAATGCATGCAATGTGAAGGATACACCTTGAAGGCTTTATTTCCAGACAACCAGCATGTGGAATATGATCGTGATGATTCTGGAGATGATGAAGTCCTGGTTATAGATTCCTTTACATTTCACAATGGGGGAAGCTTCCATCCATGTGTCCCTTCAACAGATTATTGCGAGGTTGTTTTCCCCTGCCTCGTGCCCCTCCTTTTCATCCGCTTATGACTTTCTATTTTTAATTTGAGTTACCCTTGAATTATTTAGGTGGGCAACACACTGTACGAAGACTCTCAATTTAGACAGGAGATAATCAGTATTCTTAGGACGCCCTATGACCAAGCAGAGTTTGAAAAGCTTTTGCAAGATGTCAAAGTTCAAAAGCCAATTGATAGAAATTTGGAGTTACGCCATGGGAGAGAGAGACGCTGCCCATCAAATAGAATTGGAAAATCTTATCTTGATCACTTTGATGGTAAAAATTTACGTTTTGCAAGTTACTTGTCCAGATCTAAGCAATTCTCTTTTTGTTTTAAAGTTATGCGAACTACCATACCATATTACCATATGATGATTTCATTGTACATGTGGATGTAGTGTCTGATTTCATGCAACAAGAAGCTCCAAATGATATCCCTCTTCATAGTTGACAATATAGTTTTTTGACATAGCTATATGCATTCGAGTGACATTGATCCCACTGAATAAAATATTGGGGTTAATATATAAATAACAAAAGTCTAATTGTCTAAATAGGGAAGAACTTTTTAAAACTCTTATGGGTAAAATGAACACCTTCATCAATGAATTTTCGTAAAAATCATGTTGATCGTTGAGATAATTTATATTTCAATGCCTTATAAAATAATATTCCGTATTAATTTAAGCTGTTGATCCCACTGAATTTCATTCCTAGCTCTGCCACCACATATGCTCCGCAAATTTGGAACCATCTGCACTTAAAAATCTTTGTTTGTAGTTTGATGTTTCCTTGGTGTAGTTTGATTAAAGTCGGCTTTTAAATTAATTCCAGAACTTATTCTGTCATATTTAGGGCACTTAGTTCCTACTACAAATTTTGGTTGAGAAAGATATGAGATTCCACAAATGTGCTTTCTTCTATATTCCCTCTATGGTAGCTTAAAGTTCTAGTTTAGTAGAGGCGTAGAGCACATAGTTTTTCATGCCTTTACATGCATATAATATGGAGAAAGGGAAAGAAGCCACTTGTGTGCCCTGTTGCACTCTCTCTCGTTCTCATTCAAACACACGGTGTGAAGCTTGCACATTTTCTTACGGGGTGAAATATGCTTGATTTGAGTTTTATAGTTTAAGTGTGATTTTGTTTCTTGTAGTTTCTCTAGTATTTTTTTCTTTTTTTTTTTAATAATGGAAAATCATTTTCCATCTCTTGAACTGGTGTCCTTTGTCAAGTTGTTTTTAGTTATCCTTGTTATGTACTTTTTTACTTTTATGCCTTCTTCTAACACTTGTGTATATCCACTCTATATTCCTGCAATACTAGAGCATTTGTATTATCTTTATCTATCATATCTTGAGAAAATTAAAATTGTGTTCTTTAAAAGATCGAAGAATGCCTGCCTTAATGTGAAAATTTAAAAACATGAATGCCTGCATGGATGCATTGATGTATACCTTTTCACACAAACATGCAGGTTTTAACAACAAACTTGAAGAAGTGAGTCCTGACAAACATAAAATGTTGAACATCTTGCGTGGATTTTTCTATTGGCTACAGGTGAGTGGCATTTTTTCTGCACTTTGTTTGTTAATATACAATAGTGATTAAGAATTTTATGCAGATTATCTCCTTTATGCTATTTTATTTTGCTTGAGCTATCTTATAGCTGTAATCATTTATGAGTAATTGGGGTGGGTGAGTTGTTCAACTATACTGTTGCAGAATATGAGTAAGAAAGGAGCGTTCAAGCCTTGGGAGGACCCAAAATGCCTTGCTGTTATGCCTGGATCTTGCTAGGAGGGAGGAGTTGGAAAGACACAATTAAAATTCCTTTTTGCAGCAGCCAGCAGGAATGTAGTGTAGTAGTGTTTTTGAGACTTGAGATGGCAATTAAAGGCTACTTTTTTCTCTTTAAATATGTACTAGTAGTTTTGTATCCACAACTTGAAAACTGAAAAGATAGCAATCAAAGTAATTTGGTCATGTATGTTCCTTTGGTTTTCATATTAATATAATTGCTTCACAATGACATTCTCATTTCTCAGAACTCAATCCTCAAAAGGAATTGAAGTTGTGCAAAATTGCACATATTGGAATAAGGTTTCTCATATCACA